CTCGATGCGGCGGACCATGTACTTGCCTTTCTCCACGCAGTGCCCATCGGCGCCCGCGACGAGGCCCTCGATGCGCTCGCGACGCTCTTGACCGAGGACGCCGACCTCTGGCCGGTCGCCGCCACGGCTGACTTGGACGAGATGGACGTCGCGACCGTGACAAAGGCGCTGCCAGCCTTCCGAAAGCTCATGGTCGAACAAGGTAGTGATGTGTTGAACCGCTGCCGGAGCACATTGCTTCCGTCAACAACCGCCGTCCACGCCATCGTCTACTACCCTGGCGACTTACGATCCAGTCTGGGCCGCTGGGTACGCAACGTCGTCGGCTTCACGATCCGTGTGGATGAAGTACCTATTGATGCGAGCGTTTTGCAGCAACAGCTCGCAACCTGCGAGGAGCCTCGGGCGCTCACGTCGTTTGGCGTCGAGTGGCGTGGCCCACAGGTCAATCAAGAGCAGCTAGACGGCGTCATGGCCGCCATCACGGCTTTCTGTCCCAACATCTGTGCTCTGCACTTCACGGCAGCTGCCTCTGGCAGCTTGGACAATTGCGAGAGCCTCGTCGAGTGGCTGGATCAATCAAGAGCAGAGCAATTCCAGCTCAATGGCATCAACTTTAGTCTGGCTGCTGCCAAGACCTTGGCGCATGCGCTACTGGCGTCGCCAGGTCTTCATATGATCAAGCTCGTCGACACGTCGAGCATGCTTCGGTTCTTTCTCGACCCGTCGCTTGCACTGCCACCCCGTCAACTGCGCGACTTGACGATCCAAGTCCAGGACTACTGGAGCCGCATAGTCTTCCCCTCGACGCTACGGTCGCTCAAGCTCGCGATGATGAGCCTCGACCACTTTCTGCTGCAATTGCCAAACCTCGAGCACCTCCAACTGCGCTTTGTAGAGATGACACGAGCCGCGGTTGCCGATCTCGCGGCGCTGCTTGCAGCGACGACAACGCTGCACCGTCTCGATCTTGCGTACGCCCGCTTGCACGACGACCACATAAAGACGCTCATCAACGCTCTTCCAACGTGGCTGAATCGCCAGCAAAAGGCTTGCTATGTGCGCCTGGATATGACGGACATGACGGCAGCGCTCCTTCCTGCTGCCATCGCCAACATACGCAATACGCACGAGGTGCAGCTGGAGCTGCGCAACGTGGACGACCTCGAGCTCGCAGTGAGCCAGCGCATCGTCACCGCGCTTGGGGCAACGTCGCGGATCAAGGTGCGCTTTGCAAACGAAGTGTGGGCACCCGACGACGTCAAGGCCGCCTCGTTGCACGTCCAGTACTCGGATGGCTGGTTTGTTTCGCCCCACGCGACATCCTAAAAACCCATGACAAATTGTACTTTTTACTAGTACATGGAAAACAATATTAGTTCAACCGTGGAATGAGTTCGCAGGACATTTGGGATTATTTGTTGAAATGTCCAAAAAAGGAGCTATGAATAAATGAATATGGCATCACGTTGTCGCGCCACAGTCTCAGCGCTGCTTTCGACAGCAAAGCTGTTTAAATGTCCACGTTCGCATAAATACGAGGCTCTCAAAATGGCAACGACACTGTCGACGCTAGCTGGATGCCTGAGCTCGATCGTCGAGAATGGAGTCTATTTCCCACATTGCATTTTCACACCCACCTTTTTCACCTCGTGTGAAAATCGTGCAGATTGCAAAAATGACGACGACGCGGGTGATGGCGGCGCCATGGCTGCTGCCGCCGATCGCACTGCAGATGGTCCACTGCCTCGACACGCCCAAGGACGCCATGGCCTTTCTTCATGTAGTGCCTTATGGCGCCTGCGACGAGGCCCTCGACGCACTCCTGACGCTCTTGGCCGAAGAGCCAACGCTCTGGCCCATCACAGAGGTGATGACCTTGGACGAGATGGACGAGTCGACCGCAAGAAGGCGCTGCCATCGTTTCGACAGATGT